ATTCACCTTGAAAGAAAGCAATTCTATTGACGAATCGGCCATTTATGGGTAGTACGGACTACCACAAAGGCTGAAAACGTTCGACCTCCCCAATTTAGAAAGTGTGAACCCTTGATTCACAACTTATCCGGAGATTCGGCACATTCTGGAGCATCAGATTTCATTGTACATCCGACCTATTTCTAGATAAAATATTTCTACGTGTGGCGTGTGTCAAAATTTAAAAAATGTTAGACTTTTGCCTTTTTTTGGATAGAGCACACTGGCCTGTCAAGATTAAGCCCATATATACAATACCTCTTTTGAATAATTGGTGGATTTCATGGAGGAACCTGTAAGTCTCTACCTTACTAACCCCAACCGTTCCCAAACCATCTAAAAGTATCCCTGACTAAACCACCCCAAACCATTCTGAACTTTACCACCCAAAGCCTTCCCGTACAATCCCTAACTTTACCATTACTAACCATCCTACACTATTCCTGGCTGCACCTCGCCAAACGATTCCTTATCATCTCTAATGTAACCATCATAAACTCTTCGTGACTTAACCCCTCAAACCATCTTTAACTTTACCGTTCCAATCCATCTCTAACTTAATCATACTAAACTATTCGTGACTTAACCCCCCAAACCATCTTTAACTTTACCATTCCAAACCATCTCTAATGTAACCATCATAAACTATTCGTGACAACCCCTCAGACCATCTTCAACTTTACCATTCCAAACCATCTCTAACCTAACCACTCCAAACCATGCCTATCCTACTCTAACTGAACCATATCTGACCATCACTAACTGGATGATTATTAGTATTACTGACTGCACCTCGCTGAAAGATCCCTAATCATCTCCAACTTAATCATCCTAAACTATTCGTTACTTAATCACCTCAAGCCATCTCTAACGTTACCATTTCAAACCATCTCTAACCTAACCACCCCAAACCATGCCTATCCTACTCTAACTGAACCATCTCTGACCATCACTAACTATCCGTGACTGAACGACTCCTAACCAATTCTATCTATCACTGAAAGTATTATTCCAAAAGATTCCGAACTTAACCATTGCAAACCATCCTGATCCATCGTGTTCAACTCCTAACATAACCCTCCCAAATCATCTCTAACATAATTATTCTAAAATATTCCTGATTGGACCATTCCATAACATCCCTGACTGAACCACCCCGCCATGTCTAACCTATTCTAACTGGAACATTCCTAACGATCTCTATTGAGATCTCTCTGAGTAACACAAAATATATCTAACTTAACCATCCTAACCATCTCTAACTCAAACATCATAAAATATTTCTGACTGAACCATTCCACACCATCTCTAACTTAATCACCCATAATGATCTTTACCTTAATCATCCCAAACTATTTCTGATTGAACAAACCCAAATGATCCCTAACTTAACCATCTTTTTAACTTTACCATCGCAAATATGTCAAACCATCCTCTACATCCCTAACTTAACCATCTCTGACTCAAACATCATAAAATATTCCTGACTGGACCATTTTACATCAACTCGAACTGAACCACCCCAAATCATTCCTAACCATCTCTGCATATCCCTGACTCAACCACTTTTAGCCATTTCGAATTATACCTGGGAGAACCTCACCAAATCATTCCTATCTCTAACGGAACTATTCCTAACTCCTTTAAAATCACCCATGACAACCTATTCTGACTGCTGAAACAAAACTACCTTTCTTGATAGCAACTTTATCCACCTGTCTAGAGAAGACTTAATAATTGACTGTATATTGTCCATATGTGTCAGGAAGAGGCAGTAAATACAATTTTCCTGTGAAAAACCTAGTTGACCTGTAGAACACACAACTCTAAATTGTAGTAACTGTAATTTATCTTTGCATAGGTCTTTATTATGTTTAAGAACAAAAGAATGCTTTAAGAGATTGTAATCGTAAGGATATTACCCCCCTATATTTTCGGAGCTACGCCACAATTTTACTTTCAAAATATGGAAAGTGGAATTCATTTGTTCTCGTATAAACAAGAGCCTACTAAGTATGCAAAGTGTGGCGCGCTGTGACCACCTGAACAATGAGGTGCTTAACGGTCCGGCTGCCCTTCGACTTAGACTAGACGTTAATAGCGAGCACAGAAGGAAAAAAAAGAGCACAGCCTGTTTTCCAATTAGAACCGGGATTCGTGTCTAAGTCAAGAGAAAACCGTAATATTTTACTGTAACGATATTTTCGGAAAATTCAACAGTTCACCGTCAGGCTTTGAAGGTTTCTATTGGCTTTTCTATTAAACCTTTTAACGAATATCCAAGGGGAAAGTGCAAATATGAGAGTTTTACGCGTTCCCTAAGCGAAACTTTAAAAGCCCATTGTTTTTGAAGACTCGCAGGGGTATTTGTATCAATAAGGTATAATTTATTCAAAATTAACAGCCGGCTTTGCTAACTAAAAACTGTTTACAAATCCGCACAATGAATCTTTATGCTAGGGAAAATTTTTGAAGTACAGGATGTAAAAACCAACTAACCTCAAATTTGACACTATAATGCTATCTTTCTGTTCAACTTCACCAATCGAAACAAACAATCGAACGGTAAAATATCGGTATTTCTCGGACTACTCCAAGGCAACACTGTGTGTATTATACTTAATATACATCAAAGACTATCGTAAATAGCAGATAACGCAGCATCATTGAATGGCCTTAATCAATTTTTATCTGCCCAGGAAACCTTTCAACTCCACCTCAACGTTTTATCGATCACTGTCAAACGGAAAGTGAAAATGAATGAGTACCGATTGGTAATCATACCTTTCACTATTGAACATTTATCTTAGCCCAGCAGGTGATCATCTGGATTCAAAAACGGATGTTACGTATTTAGCATCAATGATTCGCCTATGGATAGCCATAATTGTTGTAGTGCCTCACCCTGCTTATATACCCGATAATTCCGACCTTGGCATAGGTTACTAGCTATTAGATGAGTTTATACCTGTTCTTATTTTGTACTGTATTTATAATATTTCTGATTGGTTATGACTACTTTGTTCTATTTTTGAACGTTTCAGGTCATAATGCCTTATTTAGTGTCTCTAGCTTCATCAGTGGTCGAATATGTTTCTGCATTCGCACGTTCTTTTGAATGTCAGACGAGACGTTTTTTATTTAAATTACAACGAAGGTAAAATTAATTTGCTGTTGATTTTCACTCGGTACGAAGTGCGATTAGAAAGCCGAATGGGATCGGGATGGAATGGCCCGGGTCAAAGGGCAAATAGAAACCAGATTCCCTTTTTCTTTTACGACCGGCCGGCGAAAGTAAACCGGGAGACGGGCAATTTTTTAAGCCTCCCAGTACGGTGCAAAGTTTGCGTAACATACCACCTTTTTCCCTTAACAGGTGCAAACATTGCATCCGTCAACGGTTTTGGTTCATCCTACACCCACAGGTTAGACCATTTATTCAAGAAACGATTAACACTTTGGAACTTAATTTTTTGTCAAAAGGAACACAACGAAGAAACCTAAACATAGTGGGAACCAACCATACATGCACATGCATGCCAGTTCAGGATTTAGTAGAAAACCACTTTGCTTGACACCTTTACATTAGTGATTATAGCAGTTCTGGTTTTTATAAGAAATCCAGTTTAACTTAAACTTCTTTCATATCTGCTCGTAACAACTCAAAGTTGTAGAAACCCGATTGCATGTCTTCTCAATTCTGTTCAGATCAGTTTAGGTTTCAGCTAAAATCCAGTTTGTTAGCTATATTTTCACCCACCTAACTCAGATTTTAGGACAAATCCAGATAATCTTACGTTGTTGTCATTTCTGCTCGTAACAGCTAAGACGTCAGCAGACACCCGGTTTTCTTACGACTTCTCATTGGTGTTGTGGTGTTGTAATAGCATTTAGGTTTCAGAAGAAATCCAGATAATCTTACGTCCTTGTCATTTCTGCTAGTAACAGCTTAGACATCAGCATGTACCCGGTTTGCTTATGACTTCTCATTGGTGTTGTGGTGTTGTAATTGCATTTAGGTTTCAGAAGAAATCCAGATAATCTTACGTCCTTGTCATTTCTGCTAGTAACAGCTTAGACATCAGCATGCACCCGGTTTGCTTATGACTTCTCATTGGTATTTTAATAGCATTAATGTTTCAATTTAGCTTGTGTTCCTTTCATTTCTGCTCATAACTGCTCAAACCCAGTTTTCTTTCGTTCCTCCTACTGTAATAGCTTTAGGATATCTGTTCATAGCAGCTCAAGGTTTAACAAAACTTTTCATTTTAGTACTTCTCAGCACTGGATTCAGCAGGAATGCAGTTCGTCTAGGATTTTTTTCATTCCTGCTTTAGCAGTTTAGGGTTCATCAGAAACTTAGTTTTCCTTGCGACCTGCTCATTCCTGTCAATAGATCCACCGTATAACCGACGCAATAATGGCTAAGTTTTATACAAATACAAAAACCTCCATCAATCCTGACACTACACAACATCCAAGAAAAACCGTTCTTTTTTTTGTTGAAATTTGGTAGTAAAAATTGTAGTTCATGTCAAATTTATGTACGAGAAGAAAGAATTATTTAAAAAGTGGAGAATAACCTAAAGCAGGGGATAGTACTTATAATAAACTGACGCGCCTCAAGAGACTATATAGTTCGACCAATATGGCTGAGAGTGCATGGTTCAGCAACTACTTATTTAAAAGCAATTCATCCAAAATCAATCACCGTGACTTGCAACAGGCGTGCTTCGTCCAGAAACCCAACCAGTCATAAACAATATAATACCAGAAGTTTTGAAGCCCTTAGGGCATGAGATGCCCAACGTAATTGCTGTCATCAAGCAGACTTTCGACGATCAAAGAGAAAGAAGCCCAATAATGAAAAATACACAAAACTTAGGAATTAAGTACAATGAGATGTTTTTTTAAACATTTTTTCTTTCTTTTAACATATGTTTCAAGCTTGCCAAACTTACCTGTACGGGTTCGTTTTTCGGCTCGGTCCGTGAAGGCTCGCTGTTGATCGAAACATCCTGCTGAGGCGGTGTGGTCACCGACGACATTAATTATAAATAAATAGTTATAAAATTACAAACCGGGATTTGGAAGTCCAGATACAAAAAAACGAATCACACGACACAAAATGCAAATGGTGACTATATCACGGGATCTTTTTATAAATGATTTATTCCTACCAGCCTCCAGTCCAGTAACAATTTCAAACAAATATTTAAATTATTGTTATTTGTTTAAAAAATGTTCATAAATAAATTTTGGGCTGGAAGATGGTGGCACGAGGTATAAACCTCCTTACATTGCATACCATTTTTTTAATTATCCCCACAATTTTAAAACTGCTGCTTTTCTTGCTTTGGAATTTTTTTCTATTTCAAACCCTTTTCATTGAATTATATAAACATGCATATTAAACTATATTTTCCCTCCTTAAAATCGTTTCGGATTATGTAAAAAACCCTAGTCACTCACTAATAATAATTTACTCGATCTTCGGCAAAAATGACGTTAGTTACCGTGCACACAGGTGGTTCGTCGTGTTTAGAACAAAAAAGAGATTCTCTATTTTGAAGTAGACTTCGGCTAATTTAAAGCTTTAATCGAAAGCCGTCAAAAGAAGAGAGCCAAGACGTGACCCATCCCACTTAACATCAGGCTATAAACCATCTCTGAATTTGGGTGGTATAATCTAAACAGATAATTAAGAAACTGCTTTTTCCCCTTGCATTTAGAATGAAACGATTCTAATTGGTATAAAACGGTCTGTAGAAAACAAAGTCCGTTACTGATCTTTAGAAGAGCTGCTTCATCATTGATGAAATGCCCAGCGCATCAACAAAATCTTAACAATTTATTCTTTAAAATTGTGAACATTATATATTTGATGATCACATAGCGAGATATAAAGCATTTTTCGTTTAGATCGATGGAATGACGATACAAGTAATTTCTATTCTGCAATTATTCTGAAAATTTGGTCAAGTTCTCTTGATGAATTATTAGAATTTAAAGAAAATAGATAACGGAGATATTATTTTAATTTTGTTATCTAATTTTATTATAAGTTCAATGGATGACATGCAGGTAGTCAAGAAGCTTACATAAAGTTCTAATTTTGATTTTGATATTTTTTTACAAAAATATTTTAATGATGCCTAAAAAGACGCTTCATAATTAAAAACTCACCACAGTGTGTTATTTCATCAATTCTTCTTGATATTTTCGCAAATGATGGTCTATATTTTATTGAATACGCGTGGCATATTCTTGATGTTTTATAAGATTTTGATATTTTCTAGATATTTTACCGAATGCCATTTGATATTGTATCGAATGGTGTTTGATATTTTATTGTATACTGATTGATATTTCCTTGATATTTAATTGATAGCTGGTTGATATTTTCTAGAATGGGATTATTTTATAAAATGCTGGGTGATATTTTCTCGATATTTTACCAAATGCTGGTTGATATTGTACCACATAGTGTTTGATATTTTATTGAACAATGGTTGATACATTATTTATATATTATTGAACGCTGGTTAATATTTTTTTGATATTTTATCGAATGATGTTTGATATTTTATTGAATACTGTTTGATGTTTTATCGAATGCAGGGTGATATTTTCTTGATATTTTGCAGTATTTTAGGTGATATTGTATTGAATGTAATTATTTCATAGAATGCTCGTTAATATTTTATCCAATGTTGGTTGATATTTTCTTGATATTTTGGGTGAATTTGAATGTAATGATGATTGATATTTTATCGAATGATGTTTGATATTTTATTGAATACTGCTTGATATTTTATCGAATGATGGGTGATATTTTCTTGATATTTTGAAGTATGTTAGGTGGTGTTGTATTGAATGTAGATTATTATTTCATTGAATGATCGTTGATATTTTATCCAATGTTGGTTGATATTATATTGAATGTTAGTTGATATTTTCTTGATATTTTGGGTCATATTAAATGAATGTTCGTTGATATTTCCATGATAATTTATCAAATGATGGCTGATACTTTATTGAATACTGTTTGATATTTTATCGAATGCTAGGTGATATTTTGCAATATTTTAGATGTTATTTATATTTTACCGAACGCTGGTTGATATTGTATCACATAATGGTTGATATTTTATTGAACAATGGTTGATACATTATATATATATTATTGAATGCTGGTTAATATTTTCTTGATATTTTATCGAATGATGTTTGATATTTTATTGAATACCGTTTGATATTTTATCAAATGCTAGGTGATATTTTGCAGTATTTTAGGTTATATTGTATTGAATGTAGTTTGTATTTCATAGAATGCTCGTTGATATTTTCTTGATATTTTGGGTGATATTGAATGGAATATTGATTGATATTTTATTGAATAATGGTTCATGTATTATTTATATTTTATGGAACACTGGATGATATTTTTTTGATATTTTATCGAATGATGTGTGATATTTTTTTTGATATTTTATCGATTGATGTTTGATGTTTTATTGAATACTGTTTGATATTTTATTGAATGATGCGTGATTTTTTTTTTGATATTTTATCGAATGATGTTTGATGTTTTCTTGAATACTGTTTGGTTTGTTATTGAATACTTTTTGATATTTTATCGAATGCTGGGTGATATTTTTTTGATATTTTATCGAATGCTGAATGATATTGACATTTTGTCGTAGTTTGGGTGATATTTTATGAAATTTTGGTTGATATTTTATCGAATGCTGGCCGATATTTTATGAGATTCGGGTATGTGTTGTATGGAATACTGTTTCATATTTCACCGAACAATGCTTGATAGTTTATCAAATACTGTTTAATATTTATTCCAACGATGTTTCCACATCGACGATGCTATCTTGGAACAAATGCAAAACTGCAATTTCGGATGAGTAGAAGTGCCTATCACTATATAGTTTATAGCTTATGCAATAATTGCGTAAACAATAATTGACTTTCGATATTTTTTTGCTGATGAGGTAAAATTTGTCGCACTTGAGCTAGGACCTCTCAACACATTTGCCAGTCTGCGCCGTCGTACGAAAACATAATGTAACTTGACAATGACAAAACGCAGGAATGTTGAAAAACCTTTGTGAGGATGTCACGATGAAATTGCCCGAAAGGCGTCTTGTTATCAGTGACCATATATATATTTATATTTTCGTTTCAAGGAAGGCAGTAAACGATCAAATCAAATCAGAATTATCGAAACGATTAATACCCGTTTTCCGCGCATGGAAGAAAAAAACCAGATCGGGTTCAACAAACGGTCGACAAAAGGTGATTTGGTACAAGAGCCACACGTACGAATGGATGCTCTTCGAGATTAGTCGCCTCTACGTGTCCCTTTGACTGGGCCGTAGCTCACGATGTCAATCATAGGTTTTCTAATTCCGATTCAATCCATTACACAGCCCGTGATTTGAATGAAAGGAAATTGGACTGTCAGAAACCCCAAGGATGTCTCAATCCTCCCTAATTGGCATAAACACATTGCCTTAGAAGCGTTACAATCTAGCTCACTATCACAATTTAAATTGTCACTATTTTTAAATAGCGTTTTTTCTACACTCTTTTAATGTGTGTTTATAGGCCTATTCTAAAAAGAAAAAAAATAGTCAGTGGTGAATTTTCATATTTCAAGTAGTCTCGTAGTTTTAGGGTAATCGCATATAAATAGGGACATTAAACACATTTAAGTCTTTAAAAATTCCCTTTAATAATAATAACCAAAACTAGACAGTAGTAAATAGAATCCACTTAAAAATAAATACCCATGGTTTGCACAGATCAAACAAAAAAATTAGAAAGAAGTTTAGGCTGGAACCATTTCGAAAAGACCTTGTTAGATGCCAGATGTAACGATTGGATGATCAGAGGAGAAAATATCTTCATGCCTCGCGAGATAAATTATTCCCATACACGAAAATTTGCCCTGAAAGTGGTGCGAATCACGATATTTAAAAGGAACAAAGCATTCGGTCTCATTTTTTTTTTTTTTTTTTTAATATAATGGTAAATCGCACTGAAGCTGAACAACGATTGTCTTTGAGACACGAATACATTACGAATCTAGTTGGGAAGATTACTAACCAATTTATCAACCGAACTTACCAGAACATATTATTTTTAGTTGAAACATTTGCTTATGACACAGTAAGGAATTTTTCATGATAGTTTATTGACATGTTTTGATAATATCAGGAAACCTGATTTCGATTGTAAAATATCGAAAATCGACGTCAAACCATCGATGTATCTACAGTATCAACATTGAATATGGATATAAAATCATCGATGTTTCGATAATATCAGGGCCAGTGATATCGATTATCTAACATCAACATCAAATCATTGATATTTCGATAGTATCAGTCAACTTGATATCAATTGTCAAAAAACGAAAAACCTCACCCCATCGATGTTTTGATAACATCTGGCAGCCTGATTATCGATTGTAAAATATCAAAAATCGACGTCAAACCATCGATGTATCTATAGTATCAAGCCGATGATATCGAACATTGAACATCAAATCATCGATGTTTCTATAATATCAGGCAACTTGATATCAATTTTCATTAATTGAAAAGCCACCTCAATCGATCGATGTTTTGTTAACATCTGGCAGCCTGATTTCGATTGTAAAATATCGAAAAATCGACGCCAAACCATCGATGTATCTATAGTATCAACATGGAACATTAATATCAAATCATTGATATTTCGATAATATCAGGCCAGTGATATCGATTATCTAACATCAACATCAAATCATTGATATTTTGATAGTATCAGGCAACTTGATGTCACTTCACAAAAATCGAAAAACAAACCTCAACCCATCGATCTTTTGATAATATCAGTCAAACTGATTTCGATTGTAAAATATCGAAAATCAACGTCAAACCATCGATGTATGTATATTATCAAGCCGATGATATCGATTATCTAAGATCGAACATCAAATCATCTGTTTCGACAGTATCAGGCAACTTGACATCAATTTTCAAAAATCGAAAATCAACCCCAAGCCATCGATGTTTTGATAACATCTGGCAGCCTGATTTCGATTGTAAAATATCGAAAATTTACGTCAAACCATCGATGTATTTATAGTATCAAGCCGATGATATCGATATCAAATCATCGATGTTTCGATAATATTAAGCCAATGATATCGATAATCTAACATTGAACAGCAACATCAAATCTTCAATATTTCGATAGTATCAGACAGCATGATATCAATTGTCAAAAAACGAAAAACAACCTCAACCCATCGATGTTTTGATAACATTTGGCAGCCTGATTTCAATTGTAAAATATCGAAAATGAACGTCAAACCATCAATGTATCTATAGTATCAAGCCGATGATATCGATTATCTAACATCGAACATCAAATCATCGATGTTTCTATAATATCAGGCAACTTGATATCAATTTTCAAACATCGAAAATCAACCTCAACCCATCGATGTTTTGATAACATCTGGCAGCCTGATTTCAATTGTAAAATATCGAAAATGAACGTCAAACCATCGATGTATCTATAGTATCAAGCCGATGATATCGATTATCTAACATCGAACATCAAATCATCGATGTTTCTATAATATTAGGCAACTTGATATCAATTTTCAAACATCGAAAATCAACCTCAACCCATCGATGTATTGATAATATCTGGTAGCCGATTTCGATTGTAAAATATCGAAAATCAACGTTAACCCCATTATATNATATATAATCGACAGCGAACATGAACATCAAACCAACGATGTATCAGGGCAGTAATATTGATCATAAAATATCAAAAATTGACTTAAAATTACCGGTAAATTGACCTTAAACAGAAATTTAAAAGCTTTAAATCGATGCTTATTCATCGATCTCTAACAGAAACACATCAATACTTTGTACTATCAATCATTGTCCATAAATCGATGAAATTAGAAATAATTAAATTTTGTAAGTTGTAATTAAGGTTTTGTGTGATTTTATTTTTTTAATGAGTAAAGATGAACGCGTTTTTTTCTTATTGCATAGTCTCATTTCAACTTTGCACTTTTTAACATACATTTCTGTTGACAGGCGAGAGCGGCTTTTCAGCAGTGAGCATCATGATGAGACAGCTGAAAGACAGCGGAGAGGTGAGTCGCCCAAGGAAGCCCGAGAGCACAAAAAAATCTCAATTAGTGTAAATTTTCCGCTTTGCGAGTGCAAATTGTAAGAACGAAACGTTAACCCGAAACGGTTTGTTGGGCCGGCGTTTTACCCTGGTAGAGCCCGTTGTTGTAGTCCCTCGTCATACTGGGCAATTAAACAAAGGCGTAATAAAAGAAAGAGAAAAAAACATAAATTGAGGAAAAATGCAAAATAACTGTATAAACGAAAAACCTCGATTTACATAAATTTCATATGGGAATTATGAATTTCTAAAAGATTTTCTTCCTTTACCTTTAAAGTGTGAAAAAATATCATTTATACGCCAAAACCATCACTGTTATATTACACGACTTATTTGGAAAATACAAATTTTTTTAATCGTATTGCACTGTACATAAAACGTTAAATTTACATTTGAATGGAGCGACGGCTTCCAGGCGACCCTCGGCTCGCATAGAGGTCATATCGTGACCACATATTCTACCGTTTTTCCAACTCCGGTAAATCCCTAGTCACGGATTATCTGATAAAAACCTAGTTCGGAGTGATACTTTTCGCTATGATGGATTATCGGCTGAATCTAATGTACACTTGTAAAACTGTATATAAGTATCGAAAAAAAATTTGTTTATATAGCTTTTTTCAATCAAATTAATGCTTTTTCGCGAACTGAATCGTATTTTATTTCAAATTCACCTTTTTCGCTCGGGACGTTAAGCGTTTCATTTGAACTTTGAACGTTTCCGTCATCCGGCCCGGAGGACCATTCCCTGCATAAGCCCCATTCCAAGTCTTTAAGCTTCACAACAGTAATGGCACCTTGCACCTTCATACACATTTAAAAAATAAATAAATAAAATTAATAGAAGAATTATTTGGTTTTATATTATATGTGCATAAAAGTTAATGAACCGATTTAGGTGAAACTTTCACACTGTTTTTATTAGCGCCGAGCGGGTTTAGAGACTATAAAATGAACATATAACAAAAAATGGGCGACAGGTTTTACAAAAAGGAGAAATAACACCTCTATAGTCATAAGCCTAGTTTTACATAATTTTTAATTTTAATTGTAATTAATTTTCATATGGTTATGTGAGGGCCAATATATTTTATTTTAGATTTAAGGAATTTTATTTTACGTGCATACATTTCATACCATCTCCTAGTTATTTTTGAGTTTTAAATAAGAGATTAATTCGAAACTAAGAACTGTTAATACTAAATTAAAAAGATTTAATTTGAAGGTAAGAAAAGTTCATTTGAATTTTAAAATGATTAATTTGACGGGAAAAGCTAGTTGTTAGCTACATTGGTGTGTTGCTTTATTTAAAGGGTTAATTTGAAATTAAAAATGGATAATTTTGGAGTATAAAAGGGTTAATTTGACAGGAAAAGCAAGTTGTTCACAAAGTTTATTGCGTTAATTAAAAAGAGTTAATTTCAGAGGAAAAACTAATTGTTAGCTAAGTTAGTTTATTGCTTTAAAAAAGGTTAATTTTAAATTAAAAATGGTTAATTTGGAGTTTTGAAAGAGTTAAAGAGTTAATTTGACGGGAAAACCTAGTTGTTAGATATGTTGGTGTATTGCTTTAGAGAAAGGGTAAATTTGAAATTAAAAATGGTGAATTTAGAGTTTAAAGAGTTAATTTGATGCAAAAAGTTAATTGGAAAGTAAAAAGTCTTTATTTGATGTTAAAAAAATTATTAGAAATTAAAAAGCTAGCTGTTAGCTATGTTGGTGTATTGCTTAAAAGAGAAGGTTAATTTGAAATTAAAAATGGCGAATTTAAAATTTAAATAGATTAATTTGGCGAGAAAAGCTAGTTGTTAGCTAAGTTGATGTAATGCTTTAAAAATATGGTTAATTTGATGAAAAAAAGTTAACTGGAAATTAGAAAGTCTTAATTTGTTGTTAAAAAAGTCATTTGAAATTAAAAAGCTAGTTTTTAGCTAAGTTGGTGTATTGCTTTAAAGAAATGGTTAATTTTTTGCTTAAAAGGGATGATTTTGATGCAAAAAATTAATTGAAAATTAGAAAGGCTTAATTTGATATTGAAAAATAATCATTTGAAATTAAAAGCTAGTTGTTGGCTTGTTGGTGTATTGCTTTAAAGAAATGGTTAATTTTTTTCTTAAAAGGGATGATTTTGATGCAAAAAGTTATTTGGAAATTAAAAAGGTTTAATTTGATGTTTTAAAAAACATTTGAAATTAAAAAGGCCTAATTTGATACAAAAAAGATTTTATTTGAAAATAAAAAGGTTAATTCGAGGGGGAAAAGGGTTGATTTGGCGGAAAAAATCTGTAATATAGAGATGGAATATCTCATTAAACTGATGATGATTTTTAATTTTTGTTTATTAACGTGATGATGTTATCTGTTGAATCGATACCGAGCAGTCTAAAAAATTTAGCTATTTCTTTATCAAAAAAGCCGATTAAAAATTGTTTTTTTGTTTGTTTTTTAATAAAATATTTACTACTCATTTGTATAAAATAATAAATTTATTAATATTATGGATTTTATTATATATATTTATTGTACAATACACTATGTCTTCAGGAGAGTTAGCAGCCATTTTGGTTTTTCAAATTAAAAAAAAAATGCCGATCCATGGACATTGAAGACCCGAGGCACCGTTGCCAAGTTCTACACGTTCCCCTTTTCTTCCAGACGACATTGCTACAACCCGGACTGGAGAAAAATACAAAAAAATGTCCAACCACGTGATAACCATAGCGAGTCTTTGTACATTGTGGCAAACTTAGAATCGGAATAGTTTTTATTAAAAGACAAGGGAGAGGGAAAGAAATGTTATAAACTTATTAAAAAAAACGCGTTTACTTATTCTGTAAAAATGTAAGGTTGGAATACTCGAGTTTTTATTTTTCATAGTCTTAAGATTAAGTTTTCATTATAGGTAAACTAACTATAAAAAGTATAAAGCTCGTAAAACACAAGGAATCTAAGGACGTATTGGCTTCTAAAAAGATCTTTAAGGTTTATAAATCTTTTAAGTCTAAGTAATTACACGCCCAGTTGTTGAGGATTGACCGTGTTCTGCATCCGCGAAGCGATGAACGTGCGCATAATGAAACCATTTTGAACTTTCACGGCTTCATGAAAACCCCGTTTTAAAATTATCGTTATTTTTACACGGAGACGTTAATGTAGAATTAAATGCGTTACGTTCCGCTTTAACGATTCCGTCAAATCGACCTATTGGCATCCCTGGCACTTCTGATTCAGCAGAAACCTCCAAACAATGGACAATGAGATGAGGAATTCGCCTTTATAAATTGGACAATTCTTAGAAACAAGAAAAGAAAAAGCGAGCTACTTTGCATAATGGAGAAAACAAAAAAGATTCAAATGCAACTGTTAAAAACATTTAAAAGACTGAGAAAATCTAGGTAAACTCACAGTTCTTGGAAAGATAATTTATCAAAACCCAAACATCAAAAAACTTGCATTTTATTGATTTCAACCGTACACTTTTACGATTTTTTTAACTTAGCTTCAAATTGCCTGGGAAAAATATTTTTCAAAACCTGAGAAAATCTAGGTAAACTCACAGAGCTTGGAAATTTCATCCATCTGAAGATCACAAAAACTTGCAGGTCATTGATTTCAGCAGTAGGCTTTTACGAACTTTTCTAACTTAGCTTCGAATTGTCTGGGAAAAAAATATTTAAAAACTCGAGAAAATATTGCCAACTTACGTGGGTTGGAAAGATCATTCATCATCATCCAACAATCGAAAAACTTACGTGTCATTGATTTCAATAGTAAACCTTTATGGAGTTTTATAATTAGTTTCGAATTGTATCGAAAAAAATATTTAAACTTGAGAAAATCTAGGTAAACTCACAGTGCTTAGAAAGTATATCCATCATCGTCTAAAGATCACAAAAACTTGCAGGTCATTGATTTGAACAGTACGCTTTTACAAAGTTTTCTAACTTAGCTTTAAATTGGCTGGGGAAAAGATATTTAAAAAGCTGAAACAATCTAGGCAAACTCACAATGCTTGGAAATTTCATCCATCATCATCCAAAAATCAAAAAACTCACATGTCATTGATTTCAACAGTAAACTTTGACGAAATTTTCTAACTTAGCTTCAAATTGGCTGGAAAAAAACATTTAAAAGACTGAGACCATCTAGGTAAACTCACAGAGCTTGGAAATTTCATCCTTCATTGAATAAAAAGATCACATAAACTTGCATGTCGGTAATTTTGCTTTTACGAAGTTTTCTAACTTAGCTTTAAATTGGCTTGGAATAAAACATTTAAAAGTCTGAGACAAACTATGTAAACTCACGGGGCTTGGAAAAATCATTCATCATCATCCAAAAATCAAAAACTTGCATTATATTGATTACAACAATAGGCTTTTACGAAGTTTTCTGACAGCTTCAAATTGGCTAGGGAAAACATTTAATAGACTGAGACAATCTAGGTAAGCTCACAGAGCTTGGAAATTTCATCCATCATCTCCAAAGATTACAAAAACTTTCATTTTATTAATTTTAACAGTAAACTTTTACAAAGTTTTCTAACTTAGCTTCAAATTGTCTGGGAAAATGTATTTAAAAAACTGAGAAAATCTAGGTAAACCAACGGGCCTTGAAAAGATAATCCGTCATCATCTAAAGTTCAAAAAATTTGCGTTTTATTGATTTCAACAGTAAAATTTTACAAATTTTTCTGTATTAGTTTTAAATTGGCTGGGAAAAAATATTTAAAAACCTGAGAAAATAAACGGTAAACTCACGGGATGTGGAATGATCATCCATCATCATCCAAAAATCAAAAAACTTCCATGTCATTGATTGCAGCAGTAGGCTTTTACGAAGTTTTCTAACCTAGCTTTAAATTAGCTGGGAAAAATATTTAAAAAAGTGAGGCAATCTAGCTAAATTCTCTAGGCTTGGAAAGATCAACAAAAGTTCAAAAAACTTGCATTTTATTGATTT